TTTGTAACAATTTTTGTTTCCATATTTGTTTTCATATCTAATTTAATCTTTGTTGGTTTCGGACATGGACGAACCTGCAAAAAAAATGAGAATTTTTTTACTTCATTAAAAACAATTGATTATTTACCATATTAAAAACTGAAACAGAAAATTGTAATGGTGTTCCATCAGAAGTTTCTCCCAATGAAAATGGCACAGTACAATAAGCACGTTTTTTATGTTCTTTTGAATAAACAAGTTTTAATAGTTCATTCAATCTACCAGTTGGTGCTTGATTATTTCGTAATTCAAGTTCATCATCACTTAACATTAAAACATCTTGAAAAAATTTTTTATAATCAAATTTTGTTATTGATTCAGTTAAAATTGGAAATACTTCAACTTCAATTCCAACATCATTTAAATCTTTAGCACGTTGTTTAGCTTGTCGTTCTAAGGTTAAATTTGATGCATGTGGTTGATCGTTACATGTAAATATAAATACTCGTTTTATTGTTAAACGTTGAGGAGAATTTGCAAATAAATTTGAACACGTCCATAACGCTTCATTTAATGAATAATTTTTCGATTGTGTTGAACCAAATAGATCATTATATGTTTTTTTATAAGTATTGTTATTTGATAAAGCTTCTAATTGGATAATACGTTCAGCTGATGGTTGTGCTAATTGATGAAGAATATAAATATGATTGAAATCAAATGTATTTTTATTTTTTTCTGTTCCATAAAGAATAATACCACTGAGATCTTTATCATTTGAAATAATCTTTGACTGATAAAAACTTTGACAAGCACGCATAACTAATTGAAAACCAGTTTCTAATTCATTGTTATCATCAATTGATGAATCGGATTCCATTGTATTAGATAAAGATTCAAACATTTCTGGTGTACATTCAATTAACATTAGTGTACCATCACGAGTTGTTACAATCTAAAATGTAATTCGATTAATTTCTTATGGAAAAAAAGAATTCTTTATTACTTGTCTACCCTGTTGATTGTCATCTTGCCCTTCATCATCAGCACCACCAATACCACCCCAGTTCTGATCAAGTAAAGACATCTAAACAATAATATTATGTTCAATAGAAATAGAAATTATCATTCAAATTTAAATAATTCTAAAAACGAAGTATGACATCCGACATGAGCAATAACATACGACTATTTTTCTATTGGCTAATGCAATCAACAAATGACATATATGGTGGTTTCCGAGTAAGAATGACATCTAGTGATAGTATATTGGAAATAAGAAGAAAACATATTACTTTTGTACTTTACAAGAAAGTATAATACAAAAAAAACGATATCCTAACGCAAAGAACAAGTTCGAAATTTGTATGAACATGCAACTTTAATATATATACTGAAAAAGTTTGACTCTTTTTTATTTAATTTGATATAAATCGAAAGCGAGTTTATATATTATTCTTTTAAAAGCATTTTGTTTAAGAATAATAATAATGTCAATGAGATAAACGTAATTGATTATTGTATATTTCATTTTCCACGAGTTGATCGACAACACAATATTCCTGGCTTTTTACCTAGCAGGAGACAACTTGTAGATGTACGACAATAGAGACCAGGTTTGCAATCATCTATCAATGGTATACAAGGTTCATACAAATCTCGACCGAAGAAATGTGCAAAACTATGAAATATTATTAGAAAAAATAAATCAGAAAAAATCATTATAAAATATTTCACTTACTTTAATTTAGTAAAACTAATCAACAGAAAAATTACAATCCAGAATCGCATTTTACCTAGTATACTACGTTTATATTTGATCGATATTGACAAAGAAATATTCTATAACGTTTTTTTTCCTTTTTTTATTAATGCCACTAGGCATGTACACAAGTGAATAAAAAATCAAAATCTTTCGAATACATCTCTTTTCATAACATTGATGATTAAAATAATGATCTAGGACAAGTGTATACACCATTGAAATCTTATACCAATATTTACGCTACATTGAAGTAATGAAAAAAAAGCAAAAATTCGTGTTTTTATATTACTTGATCACGATCTGATACCTTTTTGAATAGTAGCTAGATTACTCATCATCAAAATTGAAATTATTACGATATATCTTGGGGGTAGGTGTGTAAGTATTATAGTCATTATTCATACCCACATCCCAATATGAAGAACAAGCTCTAAATTTGCACGAACGGGCAACTTTAAAATATATACTGAAAAAATTTCAATTCTTTTTATTGTATTTGATATAAATGAAAGATAGTAATATTTATGAAAGCAGAAAATATATAGTTTTTTTTATTTATCATTGATACCGGGTGTGTTGATTGGTCCACCTTGGTAGCCTGGTAGAAACGATGGTTCTGCTCCACGATGACCCATGTAAACAGCACGACCATCTGATTCAGCTAGAAATATGACTAAATATGGTGGCGTAAATATAAAGACATCACCAACATGAGCTTCATATCGTTTTTGTTCTTCATCTTTGACAACAATAGTGCCACTAACAACTGTTTTCACTTCCAAATATTCATAAAAGAAGGGAAAATCGTTCGGTGATGGACGCATTTCAAAATGACCCATAGTTAATTGCTCTTTCTGATTGCTAATTGGAACATCGATGATATTCGATTTTAGACCAGCACACATGTATGTTTCACCAAGTGGAACCATTTCAAGTGATCCAGCCTTGATTAATTGAATACCTGGTTTTTGTGAAAGTGGTTCGGGAATTATTTGAGCCATGGGCAAAAAACGAACTACGACGAGGTTTTCACAAGAAATCTTTTATTTGTCAACACAAGTAAAAACAGAGACCATATATAAGAAAGAATAATTTGTGATAAGAATCGTTATTGTTTGCATAATGATAAACTCAAAAGGACAACTATATTTTCTTTCTATGTTCTATGAGATACAAAGTATTCTTATAAATAGGTCAGCTTGGTATTCAAAACCCTCACTTTATTCACTTTTTAAACAAATTAGCTGACAATAAAAAAATATTGTAAAGATAACATAATCGAGAATTTAAAAAATAGAAAAGCTATTTCTTTTTAAGTTCAAGTTTCATCGTTTCAGTATCTTCAGAAAAGATTTCACGAACATCTTCAATTTTATAATCCATTTCGACTTGTATTTCTTCATCAACAAGAGCAAATAATTCAAATTGACACAAATTGCTTTTTGCAAAGTTCATTTTTAACAAAGCTTCTTCGACCAACTCCGATGCTAAAGTTTCTTCAGTACATGGAATCAAAACTTCCAGTTGTTCGAACTTAATTGAAGCTTTTAAGGAAGAAATGCAAATTAATTCTAATTTAACTTCATTTGGAACAGTTTCAAGATCATTCAAACACATTTCATCATCTGATAGTTCTGTTCCATCGTACATCAATTGATAAAATTTTGGATTCAAATGCATGAGTTGACATGCGATTGAGCGCAGCCGATGAAATTGTGTTTGAGATGAACTATAATAATTGACAGTTTGTTTATCAATGCCGTTTTCGACGATAATATGTACTGGTAGCTTTTCACTACTCACTTCGAATTCAATCGGTGATGTTGATACGAAGATTGATAATGAAGTTTCCATCGATGGAAGAAAATCCTTTTCAAACAGAAGATATTTATTTTGATTATCTATATGATTTGCTTTGTAAACATCAGCAATGGTAGCAAATGAAGCAAAATCTTGTTGACTGTTCATTTCATCATTATCATCAATTAAAATCAATTGATTTTCAGTCGATCTTCGAATATGAATCGAACAAAGTTGATCTTCTTTCACCAACAGAAATCTTGTTTCATTGACATCAGATAATAGTTGATGAACATCAATGATTTTCTTTGTATGATACGACGTTAGATATTTGTAACCACGATCAGATCCTTTAGAAATTCGAAATAATTCTTCGATCATTACTTTTCTGTTAAATAGAAGAACTTCTTCAGGTTTTTCATTATTATCTGGAGTTAAAATTTGAATGAGATAAGCAATACGAAATTCCACTACTTGTTGATCATCAACAAAAAATTCTCCGATCGATTTATGTGTTTCTTCATTTGAAAGTCTTTGATTAGACTTCTCTCCGAGAGCTACAACACAATCACGAAGAGAATTAACATTTAAATTCAATTTTAATAAAAGTTTTTCGTTGTGCAATAGTTGATTTATTTTCATTACTTTTAATACACAGATTTTTTCGGATGCATCTTCATAAGAAATTTTCACATTCATTGTTGAATCTCGACTAATCACATCGATTGTAATCGGTTCAACTGTCGAGGAAATGTTATCTGTTTCATCAACAATGCTGTTCTTTTCCTTGAGAAAATAACTGAAATATTCCGTACCAAGATTTTTTGCTACAGGCTGTTCTCGAAACCAATTATCTAAATTTTGCCATATTGTACTTGGATGAAGTAAAATTCTTCTCTCTTCGTCTAAAATTAGAAAGATTTTATTAGAAAATTTGTCACAGCAAACCTTTATTTACCCTGAGCAGTTCGATAGAGAATTTCATTGAATGAAATCGATTCATTTTCTTCTGTGATGATTAAACGAACTTTTCTTTTCTCTTGATCATTAATAGAAAAAAGATCTCCAATGATGCCGTCATAAATCAATCGTCTAGACTCATCGAAGACACAGATAACATTTTCAGTATTAAGATTTACACCGAGTTTAGGATCGTTCAATATTCGATTGAAAATATTGATCACTGGACATTCCAATCTCGTGAAATAATTAACCGATTTTTCTTTATATTGAACTTTAACTTCTATCAAAGATGTTCTTTGAAGAATTGAATATTCCAATGGAAAATCACGTGGAAGTGATGGATTATCATCGTTCAGATCAAGACCAATGTGATATTTATCGACAGGTATCAATGTTTGAGATGAATAACCTTTATCTTTGAATATTTTTTGCAATTGTTCAAAAAGTTTTTCTTTTCTCAACAGATGAGAAGTCTTTTTTTCATCTGGATGAATAATACTAACAGATTTCGCTTTTTTTTCTTCTTCAGCATTTGGAGTTTTCAATTGATTTAATAGATCAAACCATGGTGATAATGCAAATGAAAGAGATTTAAGTTGCATTGTATACAGAGTTGGATAGTTAATTGTTTCGACATCTTTAATGATTTCATCTTGTTTTATTTCTTCATTATCAATTGTTGTTTTCATTGTTTTCTGATCATCTTGATCAAGTAAATGATTAACATAATTCCAATGATAATTGTCACCCATTGTTGTTGTTGGAAGATTGAATCCACTTTCGCCAATCAGATTAATAGCGAATCCATCTTGTGAATTATCTTCTTTATTATTCAAATAATTAAGAAATGTATTCTTTGATTCAATTAGATTTTGATTTTCATCAATTTCTTCAGTCCATAGAATATTTTGTTTTTCTTGAATATTAACTAATTTTTCTTCAAGAATCGATCGACATCGAATTAAATGAATACTTAATGAAACATAATTTTCACAACGAATTTCCGAAGGAATCCATGATAATATAGGACTCTCTATTGCTACATATTCACATGTTTTTGGTAATGATTGTGTCGATTGTTCAAATAGAGAAATTTCAATCGAACGTAAATCATTCAAAAATTCACTTATCATATGAATTGTTGATTTCAATTTTTCAACATGATCATTATATTCAATATCAATTAAATTTGTTTTAATCTTTTGTTTTAATTCTTCATTTAATTCATCATTAATTGGAGTTCGTAATAGATGAGGAACATCACTAAATAAATATTGAATATCATTAATAGCATTAGAATACAATTCTTGAATATGATTCAAATAACATAATTGAAAATTTCGTATTTCATACAGTTCACATTGTTCATGAATAGTTTGATCATTAGCGTAAATATCTAAGAATTCATTGAGACTTAAATGTGACAGATTTTGATCATTAGATTTAATTAATAATATTATTTGTCGAAGAAGTTTATAACCATTAGTAAGTTTATCGACTAACATATTTTTTAGATGATTCCATTCAATTTCTAATTTATTTCGATCGATTTCTTTCGAATAATTTTCATCGAGTTCAATCATATCAGATTCATTGTTCGTTTGATTTGCTCGTCTATAACATTGATATTTCTGAACAATATGACGAAAATTGATTCGACATAGTAATAAATGTGTTCGAATGATGAAAAATTGAATATAATGAAAATTGAATTCTAACGAATTTTCTTTGATTTCAAAGAAATTTTCTTTATCAATAATTAAACTAGCACGAGATAATTTCGATAACCATAAAACATCATTTGATGTAAGTGTGATTACACCTGTATTATCACGAGCGATTTGTAAAATTGAAACATCTTTCGAAACGATATCATAAACTAAACTCTTGGGAACAGTCATGCGATCGTTAGGATCATTTTTTATCTCCTTTTCTAATAAATCCAATAGACCATTATGATAATCAACAAGAACACTGAAATTAAACGAAAAGAAAGCAATCAAAAAAACTATTTTTGACTTCCGCTACCACTCTTACCTTAGAATTCTCATGACAATATCACCTTCGTCATGATTTTCATTCGTTACTAAATAATGAATCGGTGTTTCAATTGACACTTTATCAAAATGTTGAGTTTCATCACAAGCTCCTGGTTGAATCAATCCATCAGTAAATGTATGATATAAATTGATAGCTTTTAATCCATTTTCAATGATCGAATGATGTTGTGCACGAAGACGTTGATCGATAATATTTGAATTTTGTTCGGCACGTTTCAATAAATCTTCTAATGTTATTTGAATGAATTCATCTCGTTCAATCAAAAAACTATAAGTTTGATGTAGAAGAAGATAGAACTGACTTAAATCATAAATCGATCGAGTCATTTCAAGAAAACCAGTAGTACTTAGAATACGTCGTAAAATATTTAATGATGATGAAAAATTCTTTGGATTATGAAGTTCAGTTTTGAAATGTTCATAATTAACAACAATAGGCATTTGATCGATATAGATTTGTAAATTTGCTTGAATCTCTGATTGTAAATTTAATTGATTGATTTGAGCTTTGTAATTGGGTAGTTTTTGAAGAATAGAATAGAAGACGTGTTGTTGATATTGACTTTCAGCATTGAATTGATCATCATATGTTGCATAAACAGGTTTAATCCATGGTTGTTGCTGAAGAGTTAAATGTGCCATTTGTTCTGAACAGCGATTAATAAGTATACATGTATCATCTTGATTGAAACGAACACAAAGAAAATGATATGTAGATAAGAGACGAGCACAAACGAAATGACACACTTTTGTTCGTTCTTGATTGCCCATCATTCGACCTCCATTCTCTGCATTACCAACAGCATGTTTTGCTAAGACAGGACCATGTAAATTGTTTACTGAATTTTCGTATAACAGTAAATGCCAGGCCTTAAAAAAGAGGATGATAAACTTAACTCGATACATGAATCAATCAATTTACCATAGCCCCATAGGTTGAAAAATATGCCACATAGGTTCCTGGTACATTCAATAAACTCGGCTTGCCTGAAAATTGTAGCAATTCACCTTTTTCATCGATGACGCAGCCACAATCATAATGAACTCCATGTTCTTCAATCGCTTGTTGAGCCGTTGTACCAAAACCTAGAAAAATTTCAAAATAATCGTATTTCATAGCAAATGATCGAAATACGTTGTGACTACTAACCGTGGGTGTGTAGTAAATTTAATGGCTGAAATGCAAATGACCAAAGAAAACTTTGTTTTCCACCAAGAAGAATCATCGCCATTAGATTAACTAAACAATGACGAATTCGAAGTTCATCTTCATTTTTACATTGTGGAGTAAAGAAATTATTCAATGTATTTCTCTCATCATTTTGGTTTTTTGGATAACCAATCATTGATTGTTCGGGTTGACTAAGAGCTCGAAAAACAAGTCTTTCTTCTACTGAAAGATCCAAGTTTCTTTCAATAATTGGTAATAATGAATCAATCGATGTTAAGCGATCTTGACAAAAATATTCATAGTAAATATTTACTAAAACAATCACTTTGATTTCATTAAGTTGCAGCTTTGGTGGATTTCCTTGACGATTCACAGTAATCCAATCTGTAAATAGTTTCCAGCGTTGTTCACCGTTATTTTGATTAATACATTGATCAATAATTCTTTTCAATTCTATATAGGGTTGTTGAAGATGTGGAAAGATTGATTGTTCATCATTTGATCCTAATGTGAATCCTAGCTGATGACTCATTTGTAATGACGATTGTTTTATTGGTATTGCTTGTTCAGTCTCAAAAAATCGAGCTAAAGTTATTGACCACTGTTGATTTTGTTGTTGAATATCATCTGATTTAAGTATTTTTAACAGATAATTCCATGAAAATTTAGAAACAATGATCGAAAGAAAATTTTGAAGTGGTTCATTCAATTCTGTTGCATTATTTTGAATCGATAGATAATTATTGATCATATACAAAAGAATACGATTGATATCATGTTGATCTTCAACTGATCGATCGGTTTGGCAGAGAAGAAGAGCTGTCAATTGAATAAGAAAATAATCTTTTAATTGTCGAAAAACAGTTTCGACTACCGGTTGAAGTTGACGAATATCAATGGTTGGAGTTGTCGATTGTATAATTTTATTGATCAATGTACAATGAACTACTTCATTAGTCATCAATCGTTTCATATAAGAAAAGAAAAGATCGAGCAATATCGATCGAGTATTTTCTTGATTGATCACTGATGGATGATATGGTAAACGATAGTTTTCAAGTAAGTTTCCATCCGATACACATCGAATCATTGTTGGAAGAAGATGAATACGATCCCATGTATCTTTAACCATTTGATTTCGTGGTAAATATTTGAGATATATATTCGCCAATTCATCAAAAAGAAATTCTTTTATCGTCAATGATAACGGACAAATTGGTTGGTTTAAATATTTAAATAATGAAAATATTTCTTCACGATATGCTGTATCATTTGCTTTTAAAATTGAAATTACCCATTGTTGAATATCAATCATTAATGTAGATTTCGGAAGATTGTTTTCTTCGATATATTTGTTAACAGTTTCAACAATCGATGAATATCTTTCAATATAGGGTGATTTTTGTTGTCCACCAAAATAGTTTGGCTCATTCTCTTGAAGAAATTCGAATTGTTGAAGTAATTTAATCACAAGTTCTTCAGATTTTGTTAAATTTTCATTAAGAAGAATAAAATAAGCCAAATTCATAAATTCAATACGAGATTTAATATCAATCAGTTGTGTTTGTTCAAGAACTTTACTAGATGGATAATATTTCGATATCATTGTATAACATAAAATCCATGTTTCTTTAGTTTGATGATTAAAACATACATTAGAAAGATTTTCCCATAGATCATCAAACATTCGTCGAAATAAACGTTCACGAATAAGACTTCGAGTTGAATTCTCATTGTCAAATAATTGATGATAAAACATTTGAGTTTGATCAAGACGATCCATTATTCGACATGCTGAATATAAAGAAAATAAATCGTTTCGATCGTATTCAAACGATGTGTAAACATGAGCTAATCGCCAAATATCTTCATGACGATATTCATCTAATACTCGTTGTTCATTTTCATCGACTAAACGTAACCATCGAGAGATAAATTCAATTGATTTTTGACATTTGACACGATCATCAGTAAAATTTTTCTCAACAATCGTACAAAATGTTTGAACTAAATCATTTGAATATGTTTCTAAAACGGATCTATTGACAATTTTCATTAAAATCGAATCTTTTTCAATTGCTTTGATCAATTCAAATCGAAATTCTTCAACAGTATGTTCATTTTCATTCATATTATTCTGTTCGGCTGTTCTTTCAATGAATCTCAATTTAATCTCATCGGAATAGGATTTAATTCGTTGATGAAAAAGATGATAGAGAGGCGTTTGAGGAATACATGCATAATGTGTCACTAGTTGAAAAATAGTTTGACTATTAGTTGAAAGTAAATCATTTTCTTGTTCATTTGATACTGATACATGATCAATTAGATTCAACATAGTATCATATCCATCATTGATATTCGAAAGTTTCGATAAAGTTTCTAATCCATAATCATTAACGATATGTTTGAGAATATTACATACAAAATTGTTGAAGGAAAGTCGAGTTTGAGATTGAATCGAATCAACAAGACCATCGAAACGTTTTCCGCAAAGAATATCTTTGGAAAGTTGATAGATTAATGTGTAAATTTTCTTTGATGCATTCTTTTTTAATGATAGATACATTTGATATTTATTAACAATTCGTTTTTGTAATTCGGTACATTGTGTAAGAATTTCTTTCAAATATTGAACACGTCGAAATGTACTTGTTTGACGTTGATAAAATTCGTAAGCAGATCGATTCGCAAATAAATCACTTGATAATTGTTGAAGAACAATTTGAATTCGAGAACAAAAATCCCAAAGACAATCGTCAAATAAAACATTGTAATCACAAAGTATTTGATTATCATTTTGATGTGCTTTGTTATCGTAAGAAGAAGTAAGAATTTGTATGAAATTCTTTATATAAAATGAATTATTTGATAAACATGTATCGAAGAAATAAAAATCCCAATGATGTAGAAATATCGATGAAAATGATGATTGATGATAAATTGTTTGTGCTGGTGAATGTACGAGTAGAAGAAAATATTTGAAATTATCTTGTTTTTCTGAATTACATCGATAATCAACTTTATCAATTAATTGTCGAATATATGGAATATGTAAACGTTGTTGATTGCTACGACTGTTAATTACAATCATCAGTAAATTTTTCTCAGTATTGTTTTCATATTTTATAAATTGTTCTTCTAATTCAGCAGAATTTTCGATGATCGACTAAAAGTAAACATATACAATCAGGAGATAATATAAATAATTCTACATACCAAATTGAGAATATCAACTTTATCAGTGAAAAGATTTAAATCATCTTCATTTAAAGATGAAAATAATTCATGTTTAGTTTGTTGATTGAGACCAGTGATATGAGATGATGTTCGTGTAAATATCATTACTTTAGTTGTCGAACGCAATATTTCCTTTGGTCGATCGTTACTATTTTCCAAATCGAAAATATCCATTGATGATATTGGTGATGTCGTCAAAGTTCGAAGAAAATTTTCAAGACTGAAATGTTCTTGATTTTCAAAGTAATTCGTACAGATCCAACGTGATACTTGATCTTCAAAAGTTGGTAGTTTTAAAATAATGGATTCTGGAGAGATCAATTGCATTAGTTTCGAAAGAACTGATCGTAGAAGACATTGAAAAATATTGGTTAAATTGTGTTCTATCACGGATTTTGATTTCATTGTTAATTGTGTGTATTGTTGAGGAATATTCAGATAATAACGTTCTTCTTCATCATTTTTCTTGATCAATCCTAATAAACACGAATAAAGTGTATTTGAACTTAGACCATAGAAATATTGTTGTCCAATATGTTCAACAAATGATTGAGCTTTTTCTTCGACCTGTTCCATCAATCTCTGTTCTTCGTTGGAAAGTTTAGCCCATCGAATTTGATAAAAATCTTTAATTGATAATGAATATTTTTGAAATCGACTTAGAAATGGTGCTGGAATCTCTTTGAATTCATTTCGATTGATATGAACAATACATTGAAAATCTTCATGAACGACAACATCGATCGTTTTTGGTCCAATGGCAACTTTTGACCAGATTTTTCTGTTATCACCTGTAGCCATAATCGAGAAATTTTGATTGAAAACATCATAAAGTGAACCATGAATACGTCCAGTATTGATCATTAGAATAGTTTTACCTGTTTCCATACATAATTTGATCGTTGAAAGAATCTCGACGTTTCGTAATTCATTATTGACATCATCTGGAAAATCGGACATTCGAAAGACAACTATTTTATTTGGATCAAGATCAAGAACGCCACTCTGTGCCAATAGACGTACAGCGCTTTCATCTTCTGATTCATCAATAATTAATTTATATCGTCCATAGAGTCGGCGTCGAACAGAATCCAATTTCATCGATTGATGAAGAATCGTTGGTATGTTTCGGCGTTGGTTCGGTGGTAATCGAAAATCTGGACATTCTTCTTTGACAGCTTTGAAAAAAATTTGAAGAAGTTCTTCGAATTTTTCTTTCGAAATCCCATTGAAATTTTCTTCCAATGCATGAAGAAGACTGAGAGGTGTAATACCATCGACATGTGTTTCCTGTTCATCTGTTGTCGTCGTTAATTCGAAGCGTAATTGACGTAACATGTAAATAAAATCTCGATCATGATAAATTTGTGGAATAGATTGAGTGCTCAATAAACGACGGTAACCTTGACAAAGACCATTAATAATTTTTTTCAGACGATCATTGACTCGCTGTTGTTGATTATCGATTTTCAAACCCAGACATCCATAAGCCAGAATGTGTTGATCTTCTCTCGATGGTAAAGATCGATAAATACAGATCATTCGATTGGCATTGGCAGCATCGAACGATTTGTTGGCAACAGCAACGAAAGCCACTTTACATTCATCCAAATAAGGATGTAATACTTTCAAAACCATTTTTTTCTCGTCGGGTAGTGACGCTTCATCTAAGAACACAACCTAAATAAGAACAATATTGTATATGTTCTGTGAGTCATATTTGATTCACTTACGCATCGTGTTTTCATTCGATTCTGTTCGTAGTGTTGTTCACGTTTAATAGCGCGATCCAAAATGTATGCAATATCTTCTGATCGAGTATATTTCGAACCCAAACAGAAGAAAGGATCGATGGCAGGTAACTTTTTACAAAATGCTGTATTTGATAATTGCGGACCTTGCAGATTCTGAAGAACGATCTGGAACGAGAGTGTCTTCGATTGACCTACAGGCAAAAAGAAATAGTCAATACAGAGATCTCTCAAATTTAAGGTACTAACCTGGAGCACCGATGATGCACAAAGGTGTTTTAGTAACAATGCTAACCACAATACCAAAGATATGCTCACGAACCTAAAGACATGATGAGTCAAATAATTGCAAAACATGTAATTAAATGCTTACTGCTTGGTTAATCGCAACACCTTGAGGAATCAGAAAATTGTTTGGATTAACAAAATTTACCAATTCTCTTTCTATGATACCGACGAAATCTGGAATTTTTCGCGATAGAATACTAGCCAACTTTTCTCGTGGTGGAGTTTTCTCATCATTTCGTTGATCATTATCTTCTTTCGTTGGAAGTCGAAAGTAATAGGTCAAAGCTAATGCCAACGCAATACAACGTTTTACATCAGGTTCAACTGTATCATCATCGAATCTCATTTTCCAAAAGAATTCGATTAGATTGAAACATCGTTGAATTTCTCGTTGAGAAACAGAATTTTTTCCTAGAAACTCTTCGCAGAATTCTTGAGCTTTTAATATACAATCGGTGAGCATTTCTTGAATGTAGAAATCGATAAATGTCAATTTTTGTCCTGGAAGAGAAAATGTAGTGATTTTCTTTGTGATATAATCCTTCAATGTATCTGATTCTAATGTGCTGTATGAAATTGTCAGATTTTCCAGAGCTTGTGGTAATTGATGAACAAGATAATCACTACGATGGACCGCCTTTTTATCATCCTCTTTTACTGACGATGGATTAATTGCAGCAGTAAAAAATATATTCGTAGGCAAATTATTTCCATGTAAAGTACCATCCATGAACATTTCTTTGAACAATCCAAGGCATGATGAAGTATTTACCTCGTCGAAAAATATCACTAATTCAACATCAGGAACTTCATTAGCCAGTTGACATATTGGTTTCATAAAATCTTCTAATTGTTCTTCTGCAATACCTGGATGAAGGAGAAGACGATAGAATAATGATTTAGTATTTATATGCATTAAATATTCATCAAATAATTTGATTGAGTTCAGAGGTGATTCTTCGAGAGTATTCGGATTCAGTAGTTGTCCAAGTTGAGGAGTGATATTCATCAGAGGAAAACTTGTAATATGAAATGTGATGTGTTCGTAAAGTAATTTATTTAATATGCGATATGTTTGTAAATCTGTATTGTGAGTAATATTGATAATTGTTTTCCAAATAAGTCGTAATTTACCATTATCATAACCATGACTTGAAAGTATGGATTTGATCTCTTTCGAAAATTTATCATCGATTGGTCGGACTGCTCGACCAGGAAGAGGTATTTGTTCTATAGCTGCTTCCACCTCAAATTCATCATCATCATCATCATCTTCCTCTTCATCCTGGTTTTGAAATGGAAGATCGATTTCTGGTTGATTAATTTGCTCATTATTTCTAGATATTTTTGGTTGAATTTGCTTCAATATTGCATCGTACAAATAGGGGTTCTTCTCCAATATTGTTTCAATCACTGCCTTACGTAACCACACACATATTCGTTCTCGAATACGTGGTGATACTTTCTCATCGAGAGAACCTTTTGTAAGCTTTGCATTGAGTAGCATCGAATAAAATTTTAGTAAATATGTTTTACCAACACCCGTATGACCTTCAATAATTAAAGGAAGCTTCGTTAATTTTCTTTCATGAACATGAAACAGCTTGTAGGTAAAGTTTCCAGTAAGAATAAACTTCGTTTCCTTCATTACATCCATAAAATCATCATATGAAATATCTAGAAGCCAAGACAAACATTTGGCAAAATAATTTTTTTCTTTAAATTCTTTTCGTTTTGCTGGATCTTCTCGCTTGAAAATTTCTTTCAAATTTTGAGGCACGCAATCCCACTCAGTATGTAGCAAATAAAGTGAGAAACCAGGATCATAAACGAGAAATATTCGAGGATAATCAATTCTTTGAAAGTTCATTTGTGAAAGATTTTTCGCTTCTTCTATCATTTGTTCCATCGCTCGTGTGCCTAAATATTCATCATTGTCGTTGAAACGATAAAATCCAGAGTCAGTAAAAAATCGAACACGTCGATATAAAAACTTGACAAATGAAAGTTCAGATATTTTATTTCGTTGTAATTCTTGTGCATTTCTTGCCATACAATCGTTAATCTGACGTCGACATTCTTCTTCATTATTCAATGGAGCGAATTGCAATCCAGTATCTTTTTCTGCAGTAGTTTCGACGTAAAGTCGGTTTATTGTTCCATCTATATATGCTTTCAGAAATCGCGCTACAAGTTCTTCTTGCTTGCCAATATGAAGTCTGTGATTGTTTTCAGTAACTTCTTCAAAATTATTTGAATTCAATAAAGATAACAATGAAAGAATTTGAATGAAATTATCACTAATATTTCGATTATATTTATCTGTATGAGGAATTTCAATGAAGAATGTCCATGGGTGATCATTTGGTAATGAAAATGCTAAACCACTATCCGTATCCGACAATGCACCACAAACAAATAACGAAAAGAATGTACGATTAAGTTCAATGAATGGAGCATGAATTGAAATGTTGAAATAAACCTTGGGCTCTTCATCATTTTTTGTTGAATCAAATGAGAGCAATGTATTGATTAATGTAGTCAAATGCAATCGATCATTAATACTCATAGATAAAGTTTGCGGAGTTTTGTACTGAGTATTAATTCGATGGGTTTTTCCTAAAGGAAGATAGAGGTCATCAGTACTGGCACAAATGAATTTTTTCAACTTACCGATACCAGCCTTTCCACAAATTACACGTAGTCGAGGTTTGATTAAATTATTACTTTGAAATAGCTCGTTAAGTTTTTTATTGGCCACTACTGAGTTTCGTATTTGTGGCGTTATATGGTACGGTCGTAATCCTTTTCTTGATGTTAGTTCTCTCGAGAAATAATAAACTTCACCATGTGGTCGATCATATTTCGTCAATATATCTTGTTCGTTGAACAATATTTCTCTTAATCGATGATGCATCTTGTCGATATCCATAATCACAAATGTGAGATGATAGAATGTTTGAATACGAATGAAGAATAGATGAATATCATCTTCTGTTGCATGAGAACACCAAAGGATTTGAAACGATGCTGGTAAACGATGACTGAGAATATTAACAAGAATTGAAAATGTTTCCATATCAAGATCATGATCAAGTGGATTTGGTTCAGCTAATTGATCTTTATGAGTCAATGTGACTAAATATTGCTGATTGTCATTGACTGTTGTTCTCTCGATAAATAATTCTTCTCCATCATGAAGAAGTTCTTTCAAGAATGCAGATAATTTCTTCAAGCATGATTCACTATTGGATCTGTTCGGTATTTGATGTTTGACATATAATCGTTGGATATTCTCAGTTGATAGATCACAAGTAAACAAACGTAATGAACGTAAATAATGTCTCAGTGATTCAATCGTTAACTCAAGTTCTCGATTATCATTGAAATTCTTATCACTTTTGAAATGTACCTTTTTAAGGAAACTCGATTTTGTTCGATTATCTTCTGTTGATTTGGTCAATAGAATGATCAATATCATCACTTGACGATTGGAAAACAATTGTAATAGACGTGTCAACTTTCGATATTCTTCTAAATGTTCTAACCAGAGTTTGTAATTAATTACCATTTGCTGATGAATTAAATGAAGTTGATCTGTTTGTCTTTCAACGAGTCTTTTCAAAATGTCGATCTCTTCATTTTCATTATCTTTCATTCGAGATAGAATTCGACTAATTTCACCTGCACGATCAGACAATTGAAGTGTTTCTTCTTTCAATTGATAATCGGGATGACCGGCCATTTCTAATTGAATCATTGTTGAATAGATATTGTTGACCGTGTTCAATAGTTTCAATTGTTCATTTAATAAAATTCTTTTCGATTTCATTGCTTCAGAAAGATCGACATTACAAAATGTCAGCTGCAGTTTATGATCATCAACTTCAGATGTAGCCATGACAAATTTAATTTTCTCAGGTTCTTTTGGCTGTTGAAATCCATCATTTTCGTCGACTAAATTTTCCGGATCTTCCTTGATCAAGGTTTGAGTTTTATTGATTGAATACTCAATTTCAAATTTTGATTCTTCGTTAATCAATCGTCTTAATTGAATATGAACGACGCCACTACGATAGAGATGTTCCATAGTTATCAAGGCGTTATCTAGTACGTTTGCATCTTCAGCTGATAGCCACATATTGACAAGTTGTATGTTATCGTTGACAACTAAAAACAAAGCGGAGATGATGATGATATTTCTTCTAAATAAATTTCTTACTTTGCATGTGTGTCACTGGAGTATCTTCGAAGTAAGGTAACTTAGCTACACTGTCAACGAAATCTTCAAGAGTTTTTGCTTTCATTGTAAAAGGTTCACAAAGTCCGTAGACGATAATCCACGAATTAAGAATCATATTGTTTCTTTCCTGAAGTTGAAATTGTGTTGTTAAATTATCTCTTAGCTCTTGAAAGCGACGTCTTCCATGAGTTGTGTATAATTCAGCTTTTTTCATCATTTGGATAACATTTGAACATTCGGATGCTGTTTTGATCAGTTGTAAATGTTGACTGGTTAATTTTCGAAATTGTTGCTTGAGATTTCGATATCTTTCAGAAATCTCTTTTAGCGAACAGTTTTCGTCGCTTAACTGTATGATTGAATTAATCGTTTCATCAGCATTATCATTTGAAATAATGTTGAATTGCTGTACACAAGTGACAATAATATTAATGTAACTGTAATATTGATAAATCTGCAACCATTCACACACTTGTTCGATTTCTTGTTCTGTAACTTCAGTATTTTTAACTGGTTCTTGTTGGTTATTATCATTGGCTATCAAGCGATAGGAAAATAACTTTTTCACTTCATCGCGGACATTAATATTCTTGTTGCAAAAGATAGCCTTCAGATCAACCATATCTTTTAATTTCATTCGTCCATTCAAAAGGCTATCAATAAATTGAAAAACTCTCTCCAAAACTGTAGCCAAGTCTTTTCCAGTAACAATGCGATCGTTTTCGCCGCAAGATGATGAATATATCATATTGAAAATTCCTTCGAAAAGATGAGATTTTGATACTGAAGCCTGTTTAACACGAAACCAAACCACTCGATCAACTTGTCCTTTTTCATTATTCACTTCTATTGTCAACATTCCACTGCTTAAAGTTTCAAATTCACCTTCGATTGTATGTCTCTCGACACTAAGTGTATCACCTAAGGACAGCACTTTCATCTTTCCATGATTATCGTCAGGAGTAAACGTAACGTGTACAATAATTTGTAATCGTTCACTAGCGATAAACCATTGAATCTGGTGACGCTCTTGAATTTTAATATCTCGAAATGCGGTTTTCTTAGCCATAATTTTAAAGAAATTATCTGGATGAGATCGTTTTACTTGTTCAATAAATTTCGAAGATTTATGTTCTTCATTAATTGTTGCTGTATTAAGAACTTGAAATGGAACTAAACAATTCATCATGCTACAAAGTCTCCGAAGATTCTTGAATGGTTGAACTAGTGCAAAAGTTTTTTGAACAAATTCTTTCATTTCTGTAACTGTTATTTTTGATTTATCTCTCGCTCGATGTAAATCTGCGTACAATAATATTGCATTTTCGATATGAAATCCTTTCAGAAAATTGATAATATGAATAAGAACTGCTGTCATTTCATCATACCATTTAATCCAGTGTTTGACCTGATCGAGAAAGTGATGATAGTAGGTAACACGAGGCTCATTGATGTTAATGTTTATGTCACTTGGTGCTGGTTGTAGTAGAGATATCAAATTTGTTGGAACTGTAGGAAATTTGAAGACCTGTGGATTCGCTAAATCTATAATTGACTTTATATCGTAACTTGAAACAAAGCAATCAGCGATCGACTCTTTCGACGAATCAAGGTACATCGCACAACTTTCTAAAAAAAAACAAATGTATTCATTATGTGTCACATCTTTTTTTTAAATGTACCCTGTAGTTTTATAACATTGCTGATCGATTGTTCTACTTGCTTGACGAAACGAGTCATTTCTTCACGAATAGAAGTTCCATCATTTTGTTTTTGCAATGAAATAATAAAATCCATAATATTTTCAATATTCGGAAGGGACAAAATCGATTTAGAATATCGTGAAATCACATGTTTAAATAGTTGATTGATAAAAATAATGGTAAATACGTCATTTTCATCATATCGATCATGTTTAACGATTGTCATCCATTGATTCAGTTTCACTAGAACTTCTTTGGTTTTATCAAATGCTGGTTTTATAAAACTTAAACTGAGGATTCGTTCCCAAGTGTAGATAGCCCATTGATTTTTCGCATTCTTTTCACATAGATTTCGATAAAAGTTATAATCTAATATATCCACGAAGTCTTGTGGAGTATTTAGTAGTAGAGAGGTTTGAATCCAATCGTCATGGATAGTATCTTTGGGATCAATAGAATCCAGAATTTGTTTATCGAATTCATTCATTCTGCGGAATAGATTCTTCAGTTTTTCCTTTGAGTTGCCATAATTTTTATCGTTCCAGAACAGCATATTTTGAAGAATCAACGAGAAAGAAGGTTCCTTAGTTGCATCCTTTATTGACAATGAATATCGAATAAGACTTTTTAATAGTTTTTCGTAATCTTGTTCAAAGTATTGATACCGATGTTGTTCCTCTGTCAGTTGATGCATAATGAAAGCATTGAAAATAGCCATATAAATTTTTCCAAAGAGAAAACGTTTCTCTTCTTTCATTTGTTCCCTGGATGTATCGGCCAATTTTATATAATCAAAAAATGCACTTCGAGTGACGTTGGAAATGCGATTATTCACTTCCAGAAGAAGATATTTTTGAATAATTTCATTCAATTCGCTTGTCTGGCATAGATATAAGAAAAGCTTCCAAAGAGTATCTGTGTCGACACAAGCTGCGTATGCGGATAGGTATTCTGCAAAGTAACGTTCATAACTACCTAGTATCTTAAGAAAATCACCAACATGAACCATTTTATATAATTTATGCTTTAACGTCCTTTTGAAAATAGGGAGGAAATGATCAAGAAATTCGTCATGCTTCAAATTTAATAGTTCGAAATGCTCGCATAGTATCAACAATGGCGATTCATCAGATTTTGCGACTAGAGTAAGTCGCGAAATAAGTTCCACGAAACCCGGTACATCTAATGGGAAATCTTTGAATTCCAAAGCAAAATTAGCATATTGTCTAATAAAATCTTGAAAGTAAACCTCAAAATGCTTAACATCATTGATAATAGTTTTCCATTGCAAACGTTTATCAGGATCGATTAATAAAGAGGCTTGCAATGATAGTTTGCAAAAACAGAGAAAATAATTTAATTTATCTCTATGAACTGTTGTTATTTCCAAACGATAAAAATCAATCTTCATCCTTTTCAATAGATCATTATCGATTGTACATAAGTTTGGTTTTGAGCCTTTTGTATCCAAGAAAGTTTTTGATGCATGATAAATGATTGCGTCATAAAGTTGTTGTATGCTATTCTCTAACTGATAACATGTGAAATGCTTCGTCTTGATGATCACCAAATATTCTCGGATCCGTGAGTACACATAGAAGTATGTATCAATTCTTTCGCTGAACCTCTCGCATTCTTCTGGTGACTTGAAACTCTCGTTGAAACATTGAGTTATGAAGTGTACGTCGTCGTAAAATGCGTTATTTTGAGCTTGACCGTTTTCTTCATCGAAAGTCATCAAACACGCTAAAACGTGATCAAAAAACGACTGCCCAGCACTTTTATCATCGTCGAAAATATTTCCGATCCGTTTTGCTGCATCTGTTAATTTTTCTCGACCAATAAAAATACTGAGTACCTTACTCAACAGACCCATTCCAGATAATGTATTTGAACAAAAAATATGTAAATTATCTAGAATTCATTAGAGAAAAAAATGTCCTAGATAGTCATTAAATTTAAGCAAAAAATATTTGATTTTTTAGCTGTACACTTACCAGATTATGAGGTTTAATTGACTTTTTCCTATTTTAGTTTGTTTTATATTATTATGCAGTTGTTCGATGTGTACAAAATATTCTCACTATATATCCTAAATCAAATAAAACAATTTACTTCGAGTAAATTCGATATATATATATACGATGAATTATAATAACTAGTGGGTTTTTTTCTCTTATCAGCACATGCTGTTGTGAAAGAATGGATGTAAAAAAATACTTTGTTGCTTTACTTGAATAAAGAGAGAAAAAAAAAGAATGAAGAAAAAAGTAAGAAATATTAAAAGCATTTCAAGGGTGCGTGCGTCCGTGGAATGGATTGAAAAAGGAAGAAAGAAAAAATTTAGACGAGAAAAAGTCAAAATAGTCTGCGGATCGATGTGAAAAGTGACGATTTTTCGAATTAAAAATGACTGAATGAAGCTTTTATAGAGAATTAAGTTCAAGTTTTAGATTATGATTACATCTGAATCGATTCCTAACCAGAAATCAGTCTTGATAAATTTACAAACTGTTTTCAGTATGACAGGTTGTGATTCATATCGGAAGAACGGTGTGAGATGAAAAAAATACACTTCATAGTTCTAGAATTAGACAAACATATTGGTTTTTGATACGATTTCATCCAATCATTTCACTTTTTATCTCTAGAATACGTGCTAAACGTTAAAACTTCTCGACAAGAACTAATATTTATGAATTGTTACAAAGTTTATTAAATGAATAGTGAATATATATTATAGCTAACATCTACAATGAATGTCATTTCACAGGAATAGTTGTACTTTTATATATAGCAATTATTTTACAACTCGTCTCAATATTCAAACGAAGCATATTGATAAGCATTGTCATATAAACTAGACGGATTTGCTTACAGTTAATACTGATTAAAATATATTATTGTATTATAGTGATCTTGCAACTCTTTTTCACAATATCAAAACGTCACAAACGTTTGTCAATTTACTGCAAAAAAAGTCAACGGCTACACAAAGATGTTTATGTTGATTGCGCATTAATAATGCGAAAAATTAATGTGTTACACATAGACAACGATGCTATTTTTTATGGACAATCGATAAATTATGTTGTCGATAGAGTGTCGCTATTGAATTGTTAAAAAAATCTTTCAATAGTTAACATGTGACTGAAATTAACAGCTAGTTGAATCGATCATCAACATTCTCTTAAAGTATCATGTGAAAATAAATAGAATTTTTCTTGTCTGAAATAAAAAAAGAAAATGATAAATACATCAAGAGTAGCAAGATATGTGTGCAAAGAACTACATATATAAGAATGATAAGGAATATGTGATGAAGTAAATATCATATTTGAAACAACAACTTCAAGGACGACAATTTTTACAGTGTTACCTGAGTCTCAAACAATAGCAAAATTATAAAATAAGTTTATTCTGATGACGACAGATCAATTTCCCTATAGTATGTATAAAATTGTGAGGGTCTAGATGAAGTGGAGATCTACATTTATACCCATAAATAATTTATTCTTCTAGATGAACAAAGACAATCATCACGGTTAGATTGGGCTGAATCATCATGTACAAGATGGTTTCAAATACCACTATATTCATGGATAACACCTATTCTCTCCTTAAGTAATAAACGTACACTTGTGGAGAATGATCTTGACGATCTTGCTATCAAAGATCAATGTTCAACATTGTTGAACCGAGTGAATCAGTATGATTCTCAATGGCCAGGTACATGGCACGTTTTGAACCATACATTTGCTAAAGATTTTCTAATAAGTATATTACTTGTTTTTCCACTTATAATGGCTCATTTGTCACAGCCATTGCTTATTCGTCAAATTATTCTCGTTATTAAAGATCAATCAGGATTACCATGGTACGATGGTTATATATTTTGTATTGCTCTTTTCGCTTCCTGCATCGTACAAGCCATTGTTCCTCATCAAATCTTCTTTCGAAATAGTCGTATAGGTATGCGAATTCGTAATAGCTTATCATCGACCATCTATAAACATTTGTTGACAATCAATACCGCAGCTCTTCACAAGACTACGGTTGCTCAGATGATCAATTTAGTTGCAAATGATGTCAGTAAATTCGAAGAATTTAGTGTATTCGTACATTCTCCATTACTAGCAATTGTGGAAGCTCTTATAGGTTTTGGTCTCATTTGGTGGTATATCGGTTTACCGACATTATTCGGCTATGCAGTATTGATTTTATTGATACCTATACAGTTCTTTTTCAGTCGACAATTCAGTCGATATCGAAACACTACAATGGCATGTACAGATAAGCGTGTGCAAGCGATCAATGAACTTGTTAACGGCTGCCAAATTATTAAAATGTATAATTGGGAAAAAGCTATGGAACAACGAGTACGTGAAACACGTCGACGTGAACTTTCGAATATTTATAAAGTGAGCTATTTAAGAGCTCTCAATATTGCTCTTGCTTTCTCTGCATTACCATTAATTTCTCTTGCTACATTCGGCGGTAGTTGGTTAATGGGTCGAACTTTCCAATCGGAAGATCTATTCACAACACTAGCTTTCTTCGTTATGGTTCGAGTTCCAGTAACAAATGGATTACCGTCTGCGATCGAAAAATTCAGCGAAGCTCGCGTTTCTGCAAGACGAATCGATCAATTTATGCAACTCGATACGTTGTCCAATAAACGTGAAAAAATGGAAAACGACAACGAAGATCATGTAATCGTAATGGAAGATGCATCCTTTTCTTGGAAAGATACTCCTTCTTTGTTTTCTCTCAATCTCAAAATTAGAAACGGGAATTTAGTTGGAGTGAAAGGTTCAATTGGTGCTGGCAAATCAACCTTATTCGCTGCTATCCTAAATGAGATTAATCTTGTAAGTGGGAAACTACAACTGCATGCTAATTCAATTTCGTATGCTCCACAATCAGCGTGGATATTTGCTGATACTATTCGAGCTAATATTCTTCTTGGCAAAGCAATGAATGACGAACGTTACACGAATGTGATAAAAGCATGTTGTCTTGATGTCGATCTAGAAAATTTTGGTGAAGTTGGTGATTTATTGATAATTGGTGATAAAGGTGTCAATTTGAGTGGTGGACAAAGAGCTCGTATATCACTTGCTCGTGCTCTGTATGCTGATGCTGACTTATATTTACTCGATGATCCACTTGCTGCTGTGGATCCAAAGGTAGCAAAGAATATTTTTGATCAATGCATTGGTCCTCGAAGCCTCCTTCGTGGAAAAACTCGAATATTGGTTACACATCAAACACATTTTTTAGTTGAAACAGACCAAATATTTCTCATGACAAATGGTCATATTGAAGAATTACAGATGGAACAAATACCTATAATGGAACTGTCGAATGATACATCAGAAACAGAATCATCTGCGAACAAGGAAACAGATTGGGTACCTGATGCTGCTGTAATTGATATGAATTCAATTGTTAAGAATGAAACATTAGTTGAAGGTGCTATTAAGTGGAGTGTTTGGCTAAAATTATTTACTGCACCACCTTTACGATGGTTCGGTTTGCTTTTAATGATTGTTTTTATGCTCATCAATGAAGCTTTATACGATTTTTCAAACATTTGGCTCGCTATATGGTCTGATCAAGATAAAAAAGAACAACAATCGTCGTTTTATGCTTATGTTTATCTTGGAGCTATAGGTTGCACATTGATCGTAGCAATAATACGTGTTAGCTATGTCTACTATATTATGCTACGTAGTTCGACTCACTTTCACAATCGAATGCTCAAAGGTATCTTGTATACTTCATTACGTTTTTTTGAAAGTAATCCAAGTGGACGAATCTTGAATCGAGCAAGCAAAGATCAACAAGTTTTAGATCAAGCCTTACCTCTAGCTTTAATTGATACTATGCAATATCTACTAATGATTATTGGTTCTATTACAATCATTGGAAAGACTAATCCATGGGTACTTTTAATTCTCATTCCTTTGGTTCCCTCTGTTTTGTGGCTTCGTCGATTTTACATGCGTTCAAGTCGTCAAATCAAACGATTGGAAAGTGTAACACGTAGTCCTATGTATACACTGTTCTCATCATCATTTGATGGACTCACTAGCATTCGTGCATTTAACGTTCAAGGTGATTTTTTAAATATGTTTATGGAAAGAATTGATACTAATTCACGAGCTTACCTCATAGTCTTTACGTCGGCGCGTTGGTTTGGTTTACGACTCGATATTATGGTATCCTTTCTCACGTTGGTTACTGCTCTTCTTGCAGTATTTTTACGTCATCAAATCGACTCGGCGGCAGCAGCACTTAGTGTTACATATTGTATCAGTTTAACAGGTCTCTTTCAATGGGCTATACGACAATCGACTGAAGCTGAAAATTTAATGACCAGTGCAGAACGTATTCATGAATATGGTCAACTAGTACCAGAAAGTCAACAAAATAGCAACCAGAGCGATGTTCTCATTCAACCAACAGAAGATTGGCCTTCTCGTGGTACTATCGAATTTAAAGACTACACTTTTCGTTATCGCCCAGAACTTGATCCCGTACTCAGAAATCTTAATCTACGAATTGAATCAAAGGAAAAAGTTGGCGTTATTGGTCGAACAGGTATGATTATTTCACTTTTAAGACTATTTCAAACGTTGTTATTTAACTGGTACATATAGATTTTCGGCTTTCTCTTTAGGTGCTGGCAAATCATCACTTCTTCAAGCTCTATTTCGACTTGTTGATCAATCAGCAATCAGTGGAACTCTACTCATTGATGACATCGATATTGGACGTATTTCACTTCATCAACTTCGTTCTCATCTAAGTGTCATTCCTCAAGTACCTATACTCTTCTGTGGTACACTTCGATATAATATTGATCCATTCGAACAATTCTCAGATGATGAATGTCTTACAGCACTAGAAGCTGTTCAACTCAAGCAATTAGTGCGCAATCATCCCGACGGACTTCATTTGTTGGTAGCTGAATCGGGTACTAACCTGAGTGCGGGTGAACGTCAATTGATTTGTGTTGCTCGAGCCATTCTGAAGAAGAGTCATATATTGCTAATTGATGAAGCTACAGCAAATGTTGATCATGTCACTGATAGAATGATTCAAGAGGTGATTGCTGACAAGTTTCGTGATCGCACCATATTAACAATTGCTCATCGGTTGAATACAGTCGTCAATAGTGATCGTATTCTTATGCTACAACAGGGAGAGATTGTCTACTTTGATGTACCTAATAATATTCATCTAAATTAATACAATCGTGTATGATTTCATACTCGCTATATTGTCGTCTGTAGTTTTTAAATTTTAGGACTATCTCAGTTTCAAGGAAATAATATATAACTATACTACGTAAGCTATCTTTAATGAACTTAAAAGATTTTTTATTAAAAGAACAAATTCATAAAGTAAATATTTCATATTTATTCTCTTCCTCCATCAACAAAAAGTTCGATACGTGTAATATAAATGCTATCGTCCAAAGCACGAGAGACTGCAGGTTTGGTCGTTTCATCAGACATGTCAATCCAACTCAATGATACGATAGCTATTAAATCGGTAATGAAAGTTGATTTTGTCACTTCACTATCAGCTACATCTCTAAACATTACTGTTACGATATCCAGGCGACCTTTTTCTTTCTTAATGACGTTGCATAGATTGTCGAGATCGGCCATATTTGTACTGCTGATCTTTTTTACAGGTTCATCAAGCATTTCTTGTCGACGTCCAGTGATGAAAACATGTTCTGTACCTTCAGAAGCACCTGTAATAAGTACAACTTTTCTATTAAGTTTGCTTATATTTCATCCTGTCTTAGAAATGCCTGTTTTCTTCAAAATGTCGACTGTTTTTCGATTTTTTATTTTGAATGAGGCGTATTGCGTCCAAACCCAAGTCATACCCATATCTACTTATGAAAACATCAAGAATATACGCATTGACATAAATAGAATTGTAGTGAACGACTAGTACAGTCATCATCTATGTTTAAAGTAACAATGACGCTACTTTTTCAATGTCTTATTAAATAATTTATAAAATAGATATAAATACGATAACGAAATGACAAATTCTTTACTTTTTTTTCACTATAGAGTCCTTATCGTATTATTATTTGCATTGAGTAATGCCTTCGTAATTTTGACGCTTGTTTTTGTTTTTCTAGACTTTATCTTATATCATGCTGATACTTTTTTTTCTTGTGTTGTTCTTGTATATATGTTCCTGAGTTATTTTTAAAATAGCAATATCATTCAACTTGTTAAATATAATGAGTAGTCGCGAACATGATAAGTGTTATTCTTGTCTAATATGTAATTAGGAAGAATGGTAGGTCGTTGTTTCATTAATGAATGATCGTTATCCCTATTTTATTTTTCTAGTTATGGAAATAAGGAAATAACATATCCAGAAAAGCGTATTAGTAATGTGAGTTACCCCTGTTTCAATGTCTTTTTTTAAGTTGATACCTAAGATTTTATCTTCAATCGATCATTTCCAAAAGCATCCAATATCTTGAATGATACAAATAAACACATGCAGATATCGATTTCTCAGCCTAGTATAGCTTTTTCTGTAAAGAAAACTTAAGTACAGGATCGCCCAAAAGTCCTCCAAAATACTCTTTTATTGCAAATAATTTTTGATCAAAACAAGTTCGAGAGCTGCGGATTTTCATCGCTCGAAAGAGCTTTGAAAATTGTGCATTTCTGCACCAAACGATTTTAGGAGCCGTGAAATATAATTCGTCTTGTAAATAGTATCAAAATCTACTGTGTTCTATTATAGATTCATTAGTAACCTGTCGATAATGGTGATCACTGTAGATCAACAACAAGATATTGGAAAGGCTATATCATGTGCAGCTCAATATGTGCGCAATGCTGACGTACTATTGATAGCAGCGGGTGCTGGAATGGGTGTTGATGCTGGCATTCCAGATTACTACGGTGGCATTCATATTGCACATCCACGTCTAGCAGAAATCGGACTAAGTCTATATGACTTATCCAATCATGCATTGTTCGAGCGCAATCCCGCATTAGCTTGGGGACATTGGACTACGAGACAGCGTGAATACATGAATGTAATGCCACATGTTGGGTATCATATGCTTCATACTTGGAATAAATGTAATAAAAGCAATGTACGTGTTATAACAACAAATTTGGATCACCATTTTGTACGTACAGGTTTCTCACTCGACAGTATATTTGAGATGCATGGATCAATGTATGATGCACAGTGTGTGCATGGCTGTGGTGTAAGTCCATGGCCACTTGATATTGAAAATATGCCATCAGTTGACTTGGACACAATGCTACTACTTGAACCACCACCACGATGTATACAATGTGGTGGTCTAGCACGTGTATGTACCCAATTGGCGGTTGATGATCACTGGAATGCACCACATGTTGAGGTTGCACGTATGCGTCACGAGACATTCTTTCGTGAATTGTCAGCTGAACAAGCACTGACTGTTCTAGAAATTGGATGTGGTACTGTGATGAACAAAGTGCGGACAGAAGCAGCACGTATTGTAGCAGAACACCGCATACGTGGAGGTCGTGCAATACATATTCGAATTAATTCATATCAAGCAAATATTGATCAGCATGAAGATAACATTTCGTTGCCTCTTGGTGCATTAGAAGCATTACGCAAAATCAATCAGTTGGTAACCAATTGAGGATGTGGATGTGATGGACTGTGTCTTAAATAGGTATCCATACACATCCGTTTGCTATGCTTTAAGTTTTTTTTTATTTTGGATGAATAAATAAGAACTGACTTCTACTAATAGAAGTGTTTAGATATCTTGAGGGTGAAGGTGTGAGTGTGTGTATGAGAGAGTGAAGACAGTTATACGCAAGTAGTCTACAATCGAGCGATAAGAAATATATTTGATCACGGTATTCCTGAAGACTCATTTTGTACGAATGTTGTTTTTATTGAATAATAAACATATGAATTAAAACACAGAATATATATGAAAATTTTGAAATATATTCTACTATTGAAATTTTTTAGAGATGTGTACGATGGTCAGTCCAAGACGCAGAAGCACTGTACTCAGTCAGTAACTAGTACTTCTGCTTTCGTTCTTAATTCTGGCTGTTGAACAAACATATGTTCAATCATTGCGACATATTCATTTTTAACTTGCGTCAATATTTCCAAATTACATCCCGATTCTCTCATTAGATACTGCTTCAATCTCGGATCATATTCAGCTACTTGTATTTTTGTGTACAGTTCTATGTTTTCTTTTACCAAAGCCATTGTCTGACCAAGTTGAAATGCAATCAATTTTACTATTTCAGTCAAATCTTTTTCGGATTGTTTAAAATTGAGCTCTTGAAAACAAATTGGCTTAAGTGCATCGAGACGAATATAGAGTTGATTTGCTTTCAATGCGTTTTTAATATTATGTCGTCGTTCAGATTTTGTTAGCTGAGACAGAATAGAACGTGTAGCACGAATAATTTTCTTTTCAATATCACGAGGAACGAGTCGCTGAATTTCGAGTGGATGGTATTGTTTATGTAAATGATATGTACGAAGGATACCGTTATTGGCTTCATCAGGATTGCCTTTCAACACCCATGTAATTATACCATCTGTTAGAACTGCAAGATTTATATTGATAGGTTTGTCGCTTTCGAAACAGTGTAAGTCTTGAAATTCGTAAGTAAACTTGTTCATCAGTTTTTGGCATTCGACATATGTAGCCGGTTTTTGATAGTCTTTCAGAAGGACTAAAATATCATTGTCGAGGCTGTTTTCGGAACCAAAGATATAGTATGGAAGGCCGGAGCGAATCGATACGGGTTTAAAATGATCAATGTTACCTAAAAAAAGATCATTCTTTTAAGCTAAAGTATTCTGATAAATTCATTTTGCTGATACAAAACAGATAAATAATTATAGTTTCAATTAGTAAGAGATGAAGTCAAGATTTTATATTGATTTTTATTAGTCTCACTGTCAGCAACACGAATATGAAGTGCTCTTCCAAAAATATTTTACTTCCTTTCAGAGAAAATTAATTTTTAAAATGACAAAATTATTCTCCTCTAAAACTTTCAATTTCTACTGAACTACAGTAAAAAATCATTAGTATAAGTAAAAGTTATCGGAGGGCCGACTGTTAGACTATTGAAGTATGGAGAACATTTCTATAGGAAAAGCTCATTGAAACGTTTGCCTTTTTCATGGACTTCAGCAATTTAAATTTTTTCTCAATCCTTTTTTCCGAAAGTTTTAACTGACCTGATACAGTTAATTGTTGAATGATTTCTTCCCTAAATTTTTCATTTTGTTCTAATAATGATGCAATTTTGTCTTTATATTCTTCTGTATTTTCAATCACTTGTTGTTTTCTCTCGTTTAATGTTTCAATCAATTCCATGTCATTAATCGGTGCTTTGTCTATTTGGTTCGTAAACGTATTTAATTTTTGACTATATTTGTCTAATTTTGAATAATGCTCATAAACAACACGATCACATCGATCCAGATGTTTATTCAGATTATAAATTCGATGACGTTTTAGAATTTCTGGAATATGGGCTTCTATACATGAACTTGTACATATAGGATCAGCCAGTGTGTTTTGTGCAAGAACATTGTCTATTACATAGTTTAAAACATCAGGACCTGGTTGAGTGAGATTACTTGGATTGGTGAATGTTAGCGAGATTTCATAATCAGAAATTTTGGTTTCAGTTACATGAAGACTGGTATTTGGAATGAATTCATGTTCTTCACCAATTTTCGGTTTGAATGTGTCATTTGAGAGTACTATAGCTCGATGATACATGCCAATGTGTAAAACAACCGCATCTTCACAGCCACCCGTATGATCATAATACATTGAATTAGCTGCCGAAATAACCAGTACATGTCCACCTTCGATAAGACGAATAAACTCCGATTTGACCTGTTCACCATAACTTCCACTAATAATTCCAATATATTTCGATGGTGAAATAACCATCGCAACTGTTTTACATCCTTGCTTTATAAAATAATCAATTAATACAACTATAATTCGTTGTGAAAAATTATCACCATCGATAATTATGTTAACTTCAGAAAGTCGAGGATTTGGCGGAAGATCAATGTTAATTACGGTGTCTGCCCAACATTGTTCTCGACTTATATCACAATCTCGTTTACCGTATGGACTACAACGACAAAATCCATTTGATTGATAATGATCACAATTCCATTTACATTTTGAACAAATTTCACTTAATTCAAGACATTGACGTGTAAGGATTGAAAAAGTAGACATTCTTAAGGAATATCTGTTTAAAAAAAACCATAATATATAAGTAATTGCTGAGGCTGATGCAATATAATATTTCATGTGTTTGTGTAATTGCATAACGGTGAAACATATTTAAGTTTACCTTTTTACTTTTATTTTTCTGTCTATCAGTTTATCTCAAATATTTTTTCTTTCTTTCTGTTTGAATAATAACATATTAGATATTGTGCAATTACTGTGACACATGAAATATTATATTACATCAGCGTCGACAACTACTGATACATAGTGATTCATTTAATATATATAAATACGAACAGTTTATATGTTGTATAGGGAACCGTTAAAAATGCCTACTTTTTCAATCCTTACACGTTAGTGTCTTGCGAACTAAGTGTACGAAACGCAGAGTGTTTCAGTTACAATCCTTCTAGTTCTTTCTTACAAGTAGCGAGAATCTTGATTGAGAGTGGGTGTGGATGTTGGTATGGTATTCATCTCTTTTTTTGACTCACTCCTCCACCCACATCCGTTCAAATAAAGCATTATATATATATATATATTTATAAAAGTTTATTACTGATAAAATATTTTTATCTAGATTAATTTAAAAAAAAAAGTTAATCAGTTTATTTTCCGATGCGTTGTTCGATTTGTTGTACTAGAAGTGGATGAATATATTTTTTGTGTTCTTCAAAGAATTCATGCACTTTTGGCATCATTTCCGGCCATGATAATTTAAATTCTGTATATAATGGTTTCAAAAATTTCATTTCACCATTTTCTCCAAGAAATTTGAAAATATCTTCTAATACTTCTATATATTTCATTCGAATACATAATTGATACCATTGATAACATATATCACCATTAGAATATTGATTCATTTGACAATTTTTATCAATTTGTTTAATGATATCATACGTGATTGTTGATGGTTTTTGATTGAGAAGAAGATTGAATAGATAAACAATTTGATTAGAATTGAGTAATTTCATTTGAGCATCAGAAATTAATTCAGGTTGATTAGCTAATTGACGGCATTGTCGTTCAAGTTCAGTTGAAAAATCAATAGTAATTGGAGGCATTCCAGGTGTGTTTAACCATAAATTCCAGTCAACTTTACTTGCCTGTGGAAAATATGATTCAAAATATTGAATAAAATCATCTGTATTGAGAACTCGATGACTGAATTTTTCAACATATGAACGAAGAAATTGATCAAATTCAACTTCTGAACAAACAATATCATGTTCAAGAAACCAGAGTAGTGCTGCACCCTTATGATATTGTGCTAAAAAGTTTTCGGTAGAAAAAATATTAAAGAAGACTATAGGTTAAATTTACTCGAATTATAAGCATCATCAGGATCAACATTTTTCAGACGATAAACTAGACATGTATATGGATTAGTTGAGCCAAATTCGATAATAGTTGATTCTAATTCCTCCCATCCTTGAGCAGAATGAAAACGTCGAGCTTCACCATTATCTTTAGCTAAAATTTCGAGTAATTTTGCTTCAATAAATGTTGTAAAACCTTCATTTAACCAAAAATGTTCCCAATTCTCGTTTGTCACCAGATTACCTACAAAAAACGATGAAAGATATATAATTCAAATGTTTGTATGATACCGGTCCATGAATGAGTTAATTCATGTACAATCACCCATGTCAATGATCGATCACCGACTAATGTTGCTGGTGAAATAAAATTCATGCATGGATTTTCCATACCAGTATCTAAATAAAGCAAGAATTTCGTTTGTAAAAAACTATTTAACTCAACTTACAAGGAAATGATGGTGGCAGAACAAGAATATCGTATCGTTTCCATTGATATTTACCAAGAAGTTGTTCAGCAGCAGATAAAGCACGTTCAGTCTCTTCAAATTCATATTTACATCGTTCGCGACGACTTGGTTCACTCCATACTCGTATACGATCACTTATATCATATGAAACCAAATGACCAACAGCAACTGCCATCAAATAAGATGGAACAGCAACTGTTTGTTCAAAATAAAATGTATTTGTATCTACATCATGTTTGGTTTGAATTGCACTCATTAACTAAATTCATCAATATTAGTAAAAAGAATGGTATAATGCATAGATATTACCGGTATTAATGGTTTAGGACATATAATTTTAGCTGTATATGTACTTTTCACACCAGGTGTATCTTGACAAGGATACATTGATCGTGCATGAATTGCTTGACATTGACTATACATGAATGGGTACTGTCGATCAGCAGTTTGTTCTTTGGTCATCCATTGTAACGCTTTCGATTGATCAGGTGATGTTGAATAATAAATAAGAATTGAAATAGAAATAGCTTCTTTTGGAATTTGTTCCATATCAATAGTTAATGAATTATGTTCGGGCTTGATTTCAAATGGAAGTAATGTTGTTTCATACATGACTTTCTCTACATTTAATTCATGAGCATCAAGAATAAGTTTCCCATCAAGATTATGGGGTATTTCATTGTTTTTTATCGTTGATGAATACTCACATTGTTTTTGATCCAGACGGACAACATCGAATTGAACATGACCATGAAGTAGTTGACGATCAAAATCGACATTCAAGTCAAAATGTGTATGATTCACACGAAATCGATTAAAATTCGAAATTGAATTCGGATCATAGTAGAGATAAGAATGATCAGACTATAATACATTATTTTATAAATTATATTCTTTATACACAACCAATTAATAAATATACTCACATTTATCACTGTCGTTTCATCTTTTGTTATTTCCATTTGTATCTCGTAATTATACAATCCTTTTTGTAAAATGAATGCTACTTGGCTCTCTGACGACACGTGCAAATCACGATTAGAATTATAAAATATAGTCTTGTTAAAAGGCGATGTATATATACAAAGGACATCGTACGATATTTGCTGAGAAAAACCCAGCGGATAATAGAGATAACGATATGTTGGAAGTACGAAAGTATGAATAATTAGTCATAAGAAAGATAAGAAAGAAATGGAGAATGTTCTAGAAAGAGAAAGAGATTAAAAAAGCAGTATGATGTAACGAGAACGATATTATGTCAACAGTCTCCGTCACTCTTCAAATTCAATACTACTACTTTTCGCCGAAAAGCATTTCATCGATGAGAGATAATTACTTTGTTCTTTCTTTTCCATTGCTATTATGAGGTGATTAGGCAGTCCTTGAGGGTGTTAGTGTGGGTCTGGGCCTGGATATAAGATAATAATAACACCCACACCCACCCCTTTTTTGACAAATGTCCGTGTTTTTCATGGTGAGTCGGAATTAGATTCACTTTTACTTCACATTTTATTCATAAAATATTAGTGAAACTGTCTGATTCCACTGTTTAATCGATATCATAGTTAACAAAAACTACATAAGGCATCAATTCTGGTGGAACTTCTAATTTAAGTTTAATTTGACCATTTGAATCGGATTTTTGAACCAATTTATGGTCTTTTGTTGTCACTTCTGTCTCTTGATTGCCAATAATGCGATAGATGTGTGAGACAGTCTCTATCAGTTGATCGTTGTTGATAGTAACCGTGAATGCTTGATGTTCCTGTCTTCCAATGATCAATGTCAGATTGTTTGCTGCATAAGCCCAGTTCAATCTGACTGAACTGCATGACTGAAGAAAATCAGTATGGATTAAATCGACAGTGGCTGATGTACAACCATGTTGGACAAAGACACTAGCCGTACAGTGACTTTGACGATATGCTTGTACATCGCATGTTTCATCTTGCACAGGTGCTGCACGAGCAACTGTAATCACCAATAAAACAATGAATAACATAGTAGATGACATCATAAGTAAGAAAATATGAAATATTTATGATGACTTAGAATACTATCAGCTTTTATAGTACTGACAATTATGATAGGGTATGCACACGCGCGCGAGAGAACCGAGCACGTAGGATCGAGTTACTGAGTAATACAACGATGCATTTTTTTTGTTCTATCATTGTTATCAAGTACTTAACGAGGATCAAGAATGAAAACTTATTTTCAATTACACAGTCCGAAAAGTATCCGAACAGCTCCGTATTTTTTCGTATTTTTTGATTTACGAATCAGAAACAAAGTGATAAACATTTTATTTCTTCGCCAATAGATGTAGTCCTTAGTTCACAATAAGTTCTCGATCGAAATCAGCAATATTGATCATCATCATTCTAAATGATGGGAATACTTTTCGTGAAAATGTCCGAAGTCAGACCCGTCTACGTTCGTTTAGGTAAAAATAGGTAGTGCAAAACAAATATTTTGTAGAGAATATGACAGAAGAAAAAATTCTCTAAAAATTGATATATGTAGCACTAATAATGTATCTTTCTGTCATCAAATTTTATCACAATTCTTTGAACACATTGCCTTAAACGATGAATTGAAAAAAATTTGCTTTCTTTTTTTATATTCTCTTCGAAATTTGTCACTATGACTGTTAGACTGGCTGTCGAACGTATATATACCAACTTTTTTCAGAGTAACACAATGCATTAGTTGCCACATGATTTTTCGAAACTGATATATTTTTCTTTTTCTCCGTTATCTTTGTTTTTGATTCGTAAATCAAAAAATTCAGAAAATATCGAGCTGTTGAGAGACTTCCTGAACTGGGTGTAAGTGCATCGCCTTCTGGCGAAAAACTGAGTTAGAACCACTTGTACGATGATGACGAAGTTTATTTAGTTTTCTTTCTCATATAACACTTTTCTTTAGCTGAATAGTTGAAATGTATTGAAAAGTGATCGATGAAGAAAATCATTTTTTGTAGATATTTCAAAAAAAAA